AAGTGTGTCAAGGTATTGACTACTGTCCCCATTCAGAAACATTAGTCTTCCCAGTGGGAAGAGTGGGTGATCGCTAGATCGGAATATGTGTGAGTAGTGTTCTTGTTGGAATGTTTTAAAGCATTGCAATCTTTGGAATGCTGCTTGCAAAAGGATCCACTGGGATGGGTATGACCTTACTCCACTATCTGCTCACGCATCCTCCATCCCTCAATCTATGTGTACATGTACATATGTATTGAAAGGATGAAGGTAAGGTTAACTGACTGGTAATAATGCAAAGATCGCCTTTAATTATTTTCGACTATGGTGTGTTATACAAACTTGACACTGCTTCAATCGTGTACTCCACAGGTATTCACATGTCCCTAATTGGTTAGAAGTGAATGCTTAGTGTCAGTCTCTGAGGAAGAGTACAGATCCCATGAGCCACTGGTTTGTTTCAAACCAAATTGAATATAAAGGCCTCGATTCCGCAGTGATTTCAATCATTTCTGTTTTGTTGTGTTAACTTGTGGACAACACGAAATTAGGAGAGTACATTTTCAGAGTTTCTAGTACGGGACATCCTTTTAAAGAAATTATAATCTGACAACGTTACTCTTCAAAGCATTGTCTGTGACTGCATGTAAAACTGTTTTTCAGCACTCAGCCACTATCACTGGCTGCCTGACCTGGACTTCATGCTAAATGATACCCGCCTAAAGTCACATCCTTCATTGAATAACATTCTCTTCCTAAGACAAAAAAATTTGAAGGAAATGACATTTTTCTCCACCCTTCAGTTGCCATTCCACCAATAGTCTTTTTAATAACTCAATACCGGAGATAAAGGCACTCTTCATGTGTAAAGGCCCAGGCCCCATCCAAGTTTGTGCCTTCACTCATTACTCAACCAGGCCAGAAATTACCCACTTCCGTGGGGATTTCCCAAGTGTTTCGCCGTGAAATCTAAGTGGCTACTATGACTTGGCGACTGGCCAAATGGCACTAACCTCCTGTAGCATTGCACATAAAAGATAAAAGTTTCTCTAAACTGATTTGCAAGTACAGCTGATGGGATTTTTATTCTACTTATTGGGGACTAATCATCGTTACTCTCGACTGCAAAGCTGAGCTGTAAAGGATGCAGCTCTACAAAATGGTTAAGCCCATCGAAGCCACGCACAGGCTCCTCAAGCTGCTGTTTGCTGAACCACATTCGACCACACGGCACAGTAGGACGTCGGAAGTGTTGATTTCTCACCCAGGGAGGAAAACTAGAGAACTGAAAGACCGACTTGGAGTCGGTGCTCTCCTTGCGGCACAGGAGAGCACCAATTAAAAACTCTATTTGCATACATAGACTGGGAATCGAACCTGGGCCACAGTGGTGAGAGGAGAGCACTTAATACACTCAAGCCACTTGTGCCATCCATAATAAGTACAGGATGTGTACCCTTTTCTTTGCATACCAGGTGTTTCCCTTCACCAACATAACCTTTTCATTTCATCTGCTTATTTTTCACTGAACTCAAAGAGCTGCAAAACAGTACTTTTAGTAGAAAAAGATGAAACTTATCAAGATACACCGTACCAAGCAAACACGTACATGTATACCCGAGAAGATCAACTACAAATGCTTGTTTTGCAGTAACTCTAGGGGGGCTACTGTTTGATCAATCTCAGGGGATTAAGAATAAAAACTCTATGCTGATAAGTAACAAAGTAGAATTGGATTGTACGCCTCCATTAAAGGGGAGGACGCTTCCAGTGAGTGTGAGTTCATCCTTAGACATCACATGGAATGACTTCCTTTTCCACTGGTTGCCAAGACATAATTAATGCATGATGACTTTTGGATACCCAAATCCCAAACTACATTTAATGCAAAGCCTTAAAAGTAACAACCAAGGTGAAAACTCTATATTATCAGTGAAATTCCCTGTGGTAGGTACATTGTACATGTACCAAACACTTCATATTTCTACATTAAGAAAAGTGATTTTTGCTATTACAGATTACCAATTTAAGAGGCAACCCTAAAGTGGTTTGATTTATTCCGACTGTGGTAAATGGTTTCAAAAATGCACAGCCTCTGAAAACACCTTCTTCCAAAAAGAGAAGAATGCCGGCAACATCGTCAGAAAATAGTAGCTCCTTTTGAGCTTTGCTACATGTAGATGTAATTAAGCTTGTCAGCGATCAATCTTGCGATGATGTAGGGTACAGATGCTCCAAGTGCAACAGGTTGATCCAGCGGTGAGAGACATTTATTCACGCAACATCTGTGCATCACAGTGTCAACCTGACCACGGATGCAGGAACAGGTTCCATGCTTTTCATGTCAGCAGTCACCCCTGCTTCTGACCCAAACAGATGAAAAGACAGCGGGGAGCTGAGAATCATCTTTCCTTCCCCCCCAACTTATCCCGCTGATCCCTCACGTAATGAAATTAGGAAGTGGGCAATTTGTCAAGAACAGGCTTTCAGGACTATGATATGGAAGTCCAAGGTGTGGCCTTTGCACTTGTCCAGAATGAACGAAGTTACATTCAGACGAACTTCCTGGTCACAAAGCGAGACACAAACTCCTAGCAATATCTTCAAACAACATCCACAAGTATTTTTTTCCATTGAAAGTCCTGCCTCAGTTAAAAGTGTTGATTACATGAATTCTAAATACTTGATTCCCCCCAAATAACCGAAGTTTCTGAACAGTTGACAATTTTCGAAAAAGTATCATGAAATCTGATTTTATACAGAAAACATCCTTTGTCCTCCATTAAAAGGTAGCAACAGTCTTAATCCAAGCCCAAAGATCCCTCAAAATCTACAAGGGCAGATACTGCATACCTTCAGTTGGGTACATTTGCTTACAAAACTGACACCACAAAGTTTTCACCCCTGAGAAAGGTTGGCTACTCTAAAGAGTACTTGGAATTTCTTGTAGGCTCAAGTGTAATACACCTACAACTTTACCTTACTTTTTAAACCTATCCCCCCCCAAAAAAAAAACTGACACTCCTTTCCATGCTAAAACCACCAAAAAATTAACAGGAGCCTTCTTCTAAACTTTTTGGTGTTTGTGACACTCAAAACTGTTGATGGTCTAATGTGCCAACGCAGGTCTTCCAGAGTATTCAATATACATTGTTAGTGGTATTAAATTGGACATTCATGAACATGTACCAGAAACATGTTTTGTGAATGGCCCCTGAATTACACTGCAATGGGATGTACATGTACATGTATCTACATTTGATCTTACATGTATGAACATCAGTAATGGATGTGTTAACAAATAGATTTGTTAGTCTTGTGAAGTGATTCCTGTGTACTCTTCTTCGATGTCTCAAAAATGTTAAAGGTCAGTTTGCTCCAACACTCAATACCCATTGTCAAGTAATTCAGCCATAATGGGGGCTTTGAGCAATAATGTCTAAATAGTGCTACTCCGCGCAAACTGAACAAAATCCAAAATTAGACATAAAGACAAATAAAGTGGTGTTGAAGTACTGGCAGAAAAATAAATAACAAGGAAGTTTGGAAGTATAGGAATTGTAATGGCTGCTGAATATCTACCCTGTGTCTGAAAGGTTGCAACACTCTTCAACACTTTTCACAAAGAGATGGGGAATGTTAGAGACATCATTTTTTTCGATTTCAATTTTGTTTTCACCATTCTGTTCAAGATATCGTACTTGACCACGTTGCCATGCTTCCATAAGCAAAACATCATTAATGTCAAAATTACATTAATGATGCCAGGGGACAGACATCTCATCCTGCATGTTTCGTTTTCACTAAGAGATCTATCCACACTTGCCCGCCCCTTGAACAGGAACAACACGTACTGCCGGAAAAACATAAAAGTAGGTCAAGTCAGATTTTCATTTTCGTTTCCCCCTCCCAAAAAAAAAAAACCCTGTATCTCTGTTACATATACATGTAGCTGCATGCATAAGAACGTGTCACCTTCCCTATGGAAAGACACATTAAGTAAACAGAGGGGCCAGAATGTAGGAAAATGTGGATTTTCGTTCTCACGAAGACACGCTTTTTTGGCAATTACACTACAGCAGATTAACCACTGTTTTCATTCTTATTTCTTGGTTCATGTACTGGGATAACACTTGACCTTTCAAGGAATCTTGTGAAGGTTTCCTTGCTGCACAAAGTTGTTGCAAAGTAGTACCTTTTGTAGCAAAGTAGCAGTTTGAAAAGGGAAGCAACTTTTCCTGCAGTTATCTCAATCTGTTTTACCTGAACCTGTTTTTCTTCCAACTCAATGTGTGTCTCTTCGTATAAATGGTGACAAACTGGCCAATGCTTGCAAGACCTGGAGGACTAGCGATGAAAAATTGGGCACTGGTTTCTCGGGGTAGGCAGATTTGACAAAGAGGGAGGCAACCCCAAAGTAGAGATAAAACATCAGCTCCATCAATGGGTTAAATGCCGACTACAAGTATACCCATGGTAACAGGTGTACCAGATTCTATCACAAGTATACTCATAGGAAACGAAAGGCTATTGTATTGTAAATTGAGCAAAGTGGCATCACTAAGAACACAACAAATACGCTGCTGGCAGTGTGGAGGGCATACATCTGTAAAATGCTCACATTCAACTAGACACCAGAAAAGTACCTATTAAATATGCATGCATGTGTACAACGATTGGCAAATGGGAACGCCCTGTAAAATTATGCGTGGCATTTAACGTGTTAGCCCCCTTCCACCCCCTCCTCCAATCCACTACAGTCACACGTTAATTTGCCCTTGTACTCAACCCTGACATTTTAGAAATTAACAGTAAAATTGTTGACAGGTATTCCACTCACACGCTGAACATGATTAAACCTTGGAAAAGTTCAGTGACAGTCAGAGATGGCCGGTGCATCGCAGCTGTAACTTGATGAGTGCCCCCAAGGCAAAGTGCATTACTCTCACAGGCATAACACCCCAGCTTTCCAAAAATCCATTTTCAATGTCACTGATACACATTGCTACAGGTCTTACCTGGTATGTTTTGGAGGCATTTGCTTCTTTGTTGCAGTGCTGAGCTGGTCATTTGGAGGGTGACACAAAGAACTAGCAGAGCCTGGCGAAGACAGCTTGTACACCCGATAGCCATCACACTTTCAGGGGCTCATCAAAGGAGGAGCGCAGGAACAGAACTTGAGACACACAAACCTACTGCTTCTGATCTTCTTCAAATGCTTCCTGGTGGGAAAATGGACATTTACAGAAAAAAAATCAGTTGGGTTCAAACAGTGCTACTTCAAATTGACATTAACAGCTGGTGAAACATCAACGTGAACGAACCATCTACATACATGTACATGTAGCCTACAGCTCTACACGAGTAACAGCAAGACTAGCGATGGGCTTCTCACGCGACATCAGCCTTCAATCACTTACAAACTACACGTACTCTAGATAGCAAAGTGGTCTGGGCATCACATAAAGTGTCCATGCACAGTACTCGCTTACAAGTTCATACAAGTACATTACATGCAGATTTCCCTCTGATACCCTTGTCAAGCCTTCAAATTCTGTTCAAACTAAACCTTCCAGGTGGGCACTGCAAAACACGTCAGGAATTAGCAGATGAATCAATAGGGTGGTACCGCCCAATTGAGTAATCTCGAGTGCTATTAGCAGAAATAGACACATTGGATAACGGATATAACAAATGGGACAACAGACAGAGACTGATTCTGTAAATGGTTACATGTACATACAGGCACATGTAGCCATCACGGACCAAAGGTTTTGGAGTATAGCTTCAACTCTTCCAAAAGTCATGTCCTTTCTTTGTATGGAATTACATTGTTGATTTGTTGTGGATAGGAACCTTATTATACATACTGTATATTTCCAACGTTCAAGCAATAATTTTATGTTCTTCCTATATCCTGCCCATGTAAAGGTCGAACAACTGGTAATATCAAACTTTTACAACCTCTTAAGTTTAGGATGGATTTGGTCAACCCAAAGGATGAGACAATGACAATAACACAAGAGAAGTAAATGTAATTAGCCTGAAAACACACTACTTGGGTGCATAAGTAGTAATTAGGTTTCCTAGGAAGCAATAAATAAATTCCTCATTGTCTGTTAAGTATGGCATATCCTTCAACTGGGATGACTAACACAGTGATGTGAATACACAGGTATGTCTGATGTGACAGGGACACGAAAAAAATTGGGACCCTAATTTATGGAATGATCCAAGTCGAACACATGTGTAATGTAAACCTCCGAACCAATCACTACATGTACATGTATCTTCACAGCATCGGCTCACTGTCTTGAATCGCAGCACAGTCGAGTAAATTCACAGCTACATGTACCAATGCAAAAGAGCTGAATCAACTTTGCAGTGCTCGGATAAAATGCAGATATAGTACGAAATTTTCTCTGAGAACCTGCTCCTAATTTTCAAGTATAAAAGAGGCTACGGTAAGGCAAGCGTGCACGGAATGCATATAAGTTTTCAAGGAATGATTGAAACATTTTGAAGCGCAACCTCCCTATCACCGGACAGTTGATGGAATGTTGTCATGTGGAGATTTTCACAGAATTGCTTAACGGTTGGCAGAAATGTCGAGCTCTCTTTAGCAAAAAATTTGCTAACCTTACTGCTTACTGCTTATAGTCTCCATGAATACGCGGAGCCTCTCTGAACGCACGAAATCATGTGCTAAGCAGCGTCATATAATTGGGCCCTGGATGCTTTACTAGTGTACATGTGTGTTTTTCAAGAGCTTGAGGGAAAAAGTTTGCAAAGTTGCTCAGGAAGAAAACTCATGGCCTCCTGCTAACTATTACCGGATGGAATGCTTACGTGTAGATGGAATGCTAGCCTACAATTCCTGAATTGTTTAATACGATACAGGTACAAACGTATTACACTATTATTACGCCAGTGGTCGAGGGTTTGACTCCCGTGCAAGTTTTTAAAAATTCCCACAAGTTCTCAGGACACGATGAGCATACAGAGCTTAAGATGTACATGTACTTAAACTGATGAAGAGCAAACTAGATAAATTCAAATTACTTCATGCTGTATATGGGGAAAGGGACCAACTAGCAATGAATTGGCATTTCAGAAAATACATACATGACACCTCTTCAATTTTACCGTGAGAGAACTCTCCTCTTTTCAACTGTCCAAAATGGTAAGACTTCCAATCTCCTTCCTAAGCAAAATTTTCTTTAGAAAACAGTACCTGAAGACTTCTCAGGCTGTAAACTGATTAGTGATTGCACATGTTGTAGGAAGTGAAGTTTTAAACCGTGGAGTGTTCAAAACTAACAAGCAGAGGTGTCCTAAAAGTAGGGACACAAAGGACTGCCACATAAAGCATATATTGCCTGGACAGTTCCTGGTGACAGATTCCATATCAGATGCTCACCTGTTTACATTCAGAACATTCACTCCCGGGCAAAAGACGAGGTCCCTCTTATCAAAGTACACTGAACCCTCCTCATGATGCATGCAATATGTGCTGGTAATGATCCAATCAGCCAGATGTCAGGCAAGTTGAAGTGCACCGCTGGATGCAACAGGGGCACGCGGGCAACACATCACAGGCACAGCTGACCCGTTGTTAACAGGTCTCCTGCCGACACAGAGCTGATCAGCACAGTTCCTGCAGACACCAAAGTAACTTTCCATCTGTGCAGCCCGACCGAGTGCCGGTGCCTCCTCAACTGCAGATGTGTAATAACCGTGTCAGGGCATGACGCATACAAGCCGAGTGCCCAGGTGACCAACGCAAGCGCTGGGCCTGTCAATCACTGCAATCAGTCACATGCCCCAAGAAACTCATGCCCACACTGACAATACATACCTACAAGGGTGCACAACTCACAGGATATACAGTGACACAACACAGCCCTGAGGTGAATCACGCACTCCCTGCCGTGCCAATCACCGAATGTACAAGACCAAACATTCCTGCATCTGAGGTCGTCATGAAACAACGGTAGGGTCTCTTGCATGGAGCAGCTGGGTTGATCCACTCTTCTGCACCTTCGCTCCTGACGCAGAACATTCACCACTGCAGCTGCTGTACACACGCAAATATTCATGATCTTTCAGACTGCGATGGCTCCGTGCAGATGTCCGGCTGTTGCAGGATGTGACACAGCAAAATGCTCTTGTCTCGAATCATCCTGCCTGATGATATTCTCTTGCTTGGACTGGCGCACAGATGCTTGCTTTTGGTCACCCTGAAGTAAAATACAAGATTGTAACGTTATCCAGCACACAAGTCCAAGTACCCAGTATACACAAGGCAATACAAGTACTTAGGGCCTACATGTAGGCCTAAGCCTTTCGAGCCTACACAGTGAACAACTGGCATTAGCACAGAACAACTTGTTTACAGCCATTAGCAGATAGGAGAAACGATGACAAGGTTGCAAGTTCAAGGAGTGCAAAGTAATGTATTGCTTTACAAGATGCTCGTTTCCAGTGGCAGATCCATCATTTATCAAAGGGCAATGTACAATACTTCAGGTGAAACCCTAACACTTCTGCTTCTTCTTCCAAGAGATGCACCAACTTATTTGAAGACTCAGGCACATTGAAATGAGAAGCTGTTACAGTTTTAGAGGTGGGAGGAAAACCCCGATGAATATTTTGGGTAAAACCCAAAGAATCAAGAAGGGATTGAAAACCCAATCCACATGTGGACCGACCCAGGAATCGAACCCTGAGACCGCAGAGGTGGAAGGCGAGGAAAGAACCATACACCAAAGGGATTCCAAGTATGAGAAGACCATATAGGTACAGCATGCTTAAATCTAAATATAATTTCCATGTTCTAAGACAAGTAGGCCCCCCATCACTTTTTTCATATAGCATGCAGAAGGTGCCTCCCCTAAAGGGGCGCATGCTGGTGCTGGACCCTTTGACTTGATTTATATTGTTTGTAAATTGAATAAAAATGACACATACTCTGATTTATTATTGTTACAGAGTTTATACATCTTTGTAGTTATTACCCAATTGCCAGAGGTGGAGCCCGGCACTGACACTGCGGCGTGCATTTACAGGGACTTGGCAAGGCCAGTGGCGTAGCTAGGATTTTACTAGTGGGGACACAAAGAGGGCACCAGCATCACGTAGGGGGCACCAGCTTTCAGTGGTGTGGTTTGGGGGAGGGCAAGTTTATGATAGCCTTGTTCAATGTCCATTTTTTTAGTGGGGGGGCCTGGGTTCACTGGGAATTTGTGGGGGACACTGGGTTTTTATGGGGGCATGCCCCCCCCCTCCCCGGCAGAAAAAATGTTGCATCCTGATGCCACTTTTGACAACAAATTTTGAACCCCAACAGGTTTTAAAAAGGGGCTTCTCTCCCTGCCAATCTCTCTCTCTGTCCACACCGATATCTAGGCTGTACACGTATTGCTACAATGATGAACTAGTCAGAAATTCCATGTTGTAGTCGATGATCCTTGCTGAGGCTCGAACCTGGGTCGACAGCTTAGGGAACTAGCACAGACAATTAATAAATGAATGCTCTTATCCACTCGATCACGAGCGCTTGTTGCCCAAATGTGTTCGGTAGATATATTTAAGGCGCCCAATGAATGAAGGCGAGGTCAAGAAGAGGTCACAATGAATAAATCATTATTCATAAGTATTTTACATAATTTATGCTGACACAGGAATAATTAGGCCTAGTCCTGTCCTATCCTAGTCCTGAAATCGTCCGAATATGTTAATTACCACAGCTTTGCACATCTCTCCATGTTTCCACCTTCATCGATCACGTCAGGTGAGGGCCTCCTATTTATCATGGCGGATGGACTTCAATTACACGTAAATGCTAAAATTGCACAAGGTCGGCCAGATTTCTGCCTACGAATCTACATGGATCTGAAATACTTTGTTCACATATTTCTTACAGTGTCCACCTGAAAATAGACCAAATGAGGAACAAGATAAGCACAAAAAACAAAAAATCTGCTTCGAAAGTGGCGTCAGGTTGCAACATTTTTGCCCCCCACCCCGCCCCCCCCCCGTGGCTATGCTACTGGGCCGAGCGCTTTGGCAGTTGACACTAGCTGCCCGGTCACTCACTTCACTTTTACTTTATTTTCTATATGAAATATTTCACAGTAGCGATGCAGTGCTATTATGGAGGCCTATAAAAATGGCCTAGATGGCCTAGCCTCGCCACAGTCACGGTTGCTGGTGGGGCCGTGGGCCGGGATACCGGGAGTCGACGATGAAACCACGTGACGTAGGGCTAGGTGCTAGATCGAAGATCACTTTCTCGACACTGTTTCAGACAAGAACAAAGTGTGCACAGTGAAGGCTGTAGTTAAATCTGTATATGAAGAAACGTATGTGTAGTACACTGAGAAGGAACAAAAACACCTACCCCATTTATTTCCTGTCACAATCGTCTGAGGCATACATATTCTGGCACCTGTCACGTCTGTGCATGTTGTGTGGAATATGGACCGTTGATGGGCTTGCTGCCAGCAGATCTTAGACTGCACACGTGTCCAAAGCTGGTAACAAGGACTACTTTTATCATAAACTTGAGGAAGCCTTTCACACATAATGGTTTCATAAATATCATCTTCTTACAACTTTCCATTTGATTTGGCAACTTCGAAGCACCGACAGAGGAGTGGGTATGACTGAAAGAGAAAATGCATTACGACGGGGGGCACGTGCGCCCCCCCCCCCAGCGGATGCCTGTGCCCCGCGCGTTCCCCCTCCCCATTTGAAATCTGTGAATAATCTCCATGTAATGCAGCTGTAGCTTAATTTGTTGTGGTCCCCTTGAAAAACTGTTTACATCCCCGGTTGCTCCCAGGAAATTTACCCCTAGTTATATACATGTATGTCGTTACAACTTACAAGAACTACATGCACCAGTATTATATTAAAGGGGATAATCCGATAAATAGACATTTTGTTTTGAGGCCATGCTAATGAACACGTTTGATAGTCACTTGGCACTCTGCTTTAACACTCTCTGAAGGTGAGTGTTCCCGGACTTTTTTGTTTGTTTCTAAACACATTTTGTTTCCTGTTTTGCTGATGAATATATGACCATAAGTACGAGGAGTGAACTTTGAAACCTAAAGTGCTTTATATTTGTAATGATTTTCATGGCGGCTTAAATTGTGACGTACACCCTGTCATAAGGGTGCACCACTACAAATAAATTCCCATAGAATGCAATGATAAATCCCCACACTTTGCAATAATTTTAAAAATACTCACAACTCTCACAGGTGTCCAGGCTGCACAGAAATACGAA